TGTTGACCGCAGAAACCTTGTCGCTTGAACAACTACGCTGATCAGCAAAAGCGCAATCTTCTTCTGACGGCACCTCGCCATTCATTGCACATAAATGCTCTTAAATCACCACACAAATCATACGCCATTAAGCAGAAAATAACATAATGACACGATAGGCACATAAGAATACAAATGATCGCTAGGTTTGTGATGAGTAATATATCGACGAAATCACTATGATGATGCGAGATGTACCTACATATTGCAGATCGTCAAATATCATGGAGACGTGGCGATTTAAATACCACCACAGGCAACTAGGCGAAAGGGAGTGGTGCAACGTGGCCTAAAACGTAGGCTTGTGAATAAGTTAAATGACAAATTCTATCCAACGCTCTTAATTAGTCTTTCTCGCGATCCAGGAATCACGTATACAACGAAAGACTCGGTGCAATGAACTACCTTCTAGACGCAAAAGCATCAAACGTGTAATCTGAAGACTCGATAATATGATTTGAGGAAATGCGTCATGAAACAAACCTTCGTCGTCGAACAGCTAAGAACTTCAGCAGAGAATCGCAGGTCAGGGGTTACACCGGCGTTGCGGTATCCGTGGTCGCTGATCCCACGGTAAGATTCTTTTACGACTCTGATGTTTATTCTTGCACATGGTATTATTAAGACATAAGATTGGTCTTTCCCAGAGAAAAGATTATTCCGGTTACGGTCCAGTTCGGTTTTGACTGGTACCTACTGCTTCGTCACTCGTCACAGTCAACCAAAACGCTGAAGATTAGAAGAAAGAAGGCGTTTAGTGCATGATCGAATGTCTTTTACAGCAAGGACGTCGTTTCCAAGCCGTACTGTAAGATCAATATGATATAAGCCGTGAAGATCTTCTTTTGGCTTCCAAAAGCGGCCGCTGTTGAAACAGTTTTCTATTCACCTCCATGCCGCAGCTGCCGTCGTTTGTAATGACGTGGCCAAAATATTTGTACTAGTCAGATTCTTCCAATCTTTCGCTATTCAAAGTGAGATTGGTCTTCCTAATCACTTTTGTTTTCTTTCGATTGAGACTAAAGTCCGAGTTTTTCAGCGACAGTTTGATCAACGTCAACCTGACGGGCCGAGAGCTTCGGACTAGTAGTTGATGAAACCTGTAATGAATCTCGAAAGGTTCATTACCGACTTCATGGGGTGCTCAAGGCAGACACACGCTGAAGAAAGAGTAATCATTCGTATTAATACTTGAACAGGGCATTGAGAAATCCCTTAATATCGCCCCTGATGTTCTTAATAGACAATGATGCTTGAACGTGGAAGATATCCTTTTCATTTAAATTACTGAAAATTACAATAAGCGATTGCTACCCCACCCATTCAATCGGTTGTTAATGAAAGATACTTCGAAACGCCGGGTGCCAGTCGACGAATCTACAGCGAACGGTATCAAGCGAGCAAATTGTTCATATCATAAAAGAAGCATTAAATCAATTCATACCGCATTCAGGGCTAAACCACCACGGAAGCAACGGCAGTGGTGGCACGCATTTCAAACGAGCTGCCAGTAAGTCGTGATTGTCGGTTGCCACTTCGGCAGGAAAGTGGCTGTCATCAGCCAGCTGAAGGGTGCCGACTTCTTCGCAGAGTTTTTGCACGTTGCAAGAACCAACCTGAAACACGACAACAGTTAGCCTAAAGTATAACGTGCAAAACACTTAACACATTCGACTGCAAAAACTCTGTACATCGGAATCAGCACTCTGCCACGTAGTAGTACTACGTGGTTGTAAGGGAGAGGCGTACGCTGAGACGAAATTAAATGGATGGTATAAGAATATGAAATAACGTTCATAATTTGTGCCAACGGGTTAGATAAAAACAACGAAAATAGAAGAAAAAAGTGCAGCATGGCGTTTACCGTTTGAAGTGGTGAAAGTGCTACCTACTCTATCGAAATTACTCGCTGATGTGGTGAGAACAACAAATTCCACAACGTTTAATTTGGAGTTGAAGGAGAATTAGTCTGTTTTTTTGTGTCACCGTATACTGTCTGACGTAGTAGAGCACATGATGCTAATCAGTACTAGAATACCCGGGAGCGGAAGACGCAAGCGTCGTTCACGAGAGCATTACAAAATATAACTCAGGACGGTGAGATTAACCAGTACATAAAGAACTGCAATACTTTCCACACACAAGCTAAAGTCTTGTAAGCCAGTCTGAGGGAAATCGCCTTCGAGCTAAGCGCGGCGACTTTTGACATCAACGGCGAATGGAGAAAAGTCTGGCACAACTTCATCATGGCACACTAGTACTTACTTAGCACAACGGAAAGCTGCTGGGTTTCGGCTGGCTCAATCTGTGACCAGCGGGTGACCCGCCAGTACGTCAGAATGAGAACGATGTCAATACCAGACAAAACCATCTGTATAAATGGCGGTACAAAGCGGCTCCTGTGTGTGGCAGCCGCTAACTCGTTCAGACAAGCAATCAGTGGAAAGTGGTATGCGAACAACCGTAATACGAACAACTTCACTGATGAGAAGTTCAACAAAGTGGACCGAAGAATAAACAAGATTCACCGTTCAGAACGAACGACCCATAACTACCAGAGAAGCACTCCGAAACCGCGTTCTCCAAAACATCCATTAAAAATAAGTGAAACAATCAAGCGCGACTAACTACAGAGAGCTACGGATTGTAGATCTCCAAAAAAACTTGCCAGCATCCTGCACAAAAACGGCATCAAATCGAAACAGAAGGACACCGGAATGACATATCGGACGAAATGCTGGTGTTGAGAGAGCAACGCTGGAAAAAGCGGTGGAAAGCTAGCGAATCGGACCAGGGAACATATAGCTTGTCTCAACTGAGCAGACGAGAAGAGCTCTGCCGTTTAAGAACATATTATACTAAAATACCATAACGGTACGCAAGCAGCATTGCACATTAGGAAACGAACTGGTGAACAAGAAACATCTTGAAGGTAGTCATGGTAGGACGCACAGAAAAGCAAAATTAACAAATATGAAGAAACTTACAAGATCTGTCCAATATAGCTTCGTTGATTACACGACTAAATTGTCAATAAACATTCACTGTTGAAACTCGCGCTAATTCAACACACTCGCAAGACTGCCAAGCATACAGAATGCACGAAGAAAATTCACGATTCCGAAACT